TTTTGGCCTTTTCTTCTCCTTTTATAACAAGAAGTCTTTCCAAGTACTTTCATATATCACCTCCAAGAAAAACCAAAAGATAAAACAGGGAAATGGCTATTCATCATGAAAAAAAATAGTTTTTTAAAATAGCTTCCAGGATGCTTACTATTCATGACTCTATTTGGAATCCATATTTTACTTTCTCCTCTTGCCTGGTTGCCAATCATTTTTCTGTGGGTGGTTTGGGGCAGGTGGGGTGTTGGAATTCACATCCAAAGAATACAGTAGTGAGTAGGAGCAGGGGGGAAAAAAATAAGAACGTGGGAGAAGAGTAACAGATTAAGAAGTGTAGTCAGAAGGAAAGTGAATGATTTTGGCAACTTGTGGGACTATTTTTGCAATTTCTGAGACTAGAAATAGTGCCCTCACTCATAAGATCTCTTTCTGTCCTAAACTGTTTTAGTGTTCCTGAGGGCAAGGGGACATTAAAGGTGGTGTAGAGAAAGAGGCGTTGAAAAGATCTTGAGAGCAAAGGAAGATGAGAGGTTCTTAGAGAAAAAAAGGAGATGATGGTAATAGAAAGAAAGTTGGTGGTGGCTTTTTATTTTATTTTATTATGTATTTTTTTGGCCATGCCACACTTGCAGGATCTTAGTTCCCCAACCAGGGATTGAACCCAGGCCACAGTAGTGAAAGCACTAACTTCTAACCACTAAACCTCCAAAGGGAATTCCCGGTGGTGGCATTTTAAATAGGGAGTGGTGAGAACTAAAACCAGCATAATACCCTATTTCTGGGTTAAACAATACTAGGGCCAGAGGCATACTTTTTCATTCCTGTGAATGAAAGACTAAGCAAAGTAACCTATATGAAACACTGTTCTGGAAGTTAAGACTGTGACCCAACCAGACAGCTTTTTCACCAAGACTAATTTCGAGACTCTCATTTTGTCCACCAATCCAAAGCTATTATATCATACACTTTGTCTAGTCCAGATAAGTCTCCCTCCTTGTCAGATCCACCTTACACGGACACATCCCAGGTGCTGAATCCCAACAGATACCTTTTCCTAATTTCCCCATTTTCAGACATTATTACCAAAATTTTGACAGTGATAGTTTCCCTTACTGCAGTACATCTTTGTGTAATCAGGTTTTTCTGGTGGTCTTTTGAGAAATTGGCAATGAACACATGGAAGAGGATATTATAATTGTAGGAGATGAGAAGGTTTGGGGTTCTAGAAAGAAAAGGCATTTGAGTAGTTGTGAGATACAAAAAAAAGTGGGGAAATTATAGGGAAGAAAATTGGGAGTTTCTAAAAATATATATAGTCCTAATAGTGAAGAAAGCTTGAGATAATGTGAGGAGAGAACTGCGATAGAAAATGTTAATTCTTTTCTTGCTGCAAAAATTTGACAAAATAATGACTTCTTTTAAGATTCTCCATTAAAATTCCATCAGAAGATACCTCAAGAGCAGACTTTTGGCCCAATTCCTTTTATTACCTCATGAGGCCTATCACTTTTGGAATATACTAAAGAGTCAACCTAGCAAAGCAATACTTTTGTGGGACTCTCCGTGGTCTTTGCCCTACCTGCCTGTTCTGCCAGCTCTCAGGGACATTGTGTGCACAGCAATTACTCCACCTAATTAATGCCCAAACCTCCCAGATCATCATCTTTATACAAGGTACAAGTCAGGACTCCAAAATATTAAACGATTTACAGCTGTTTTATATTAATAGAAGGCATGCCCTAATGGACACCTAATAGTCTACATCTTCAATTGACAAGAAATGGAATACTGAAATACATAAAAATAAAAAATATTTTTAAATATGCAAATCATAGGCCAAACCCTGATCCCTACCAGTGAAGAACAAAAGTTATTTTCAAATGTCCAAGAAGTATTTTTAAAAGTTAGTCACACCACAGATTACAAAGAAAACATTGACAAATTCCAATTGGAAATTATGATAATCACATTTTCTGACAATAATTTAATACATCAGGCAATTAACAGAATTGCACATAAACACATACACATCAGGCAAATTGGAAACCTAAAAATCTAACCTTAAAGAAAAAAAAATCCCTAAACTCTTGGGTTGGTGAACTAAACTTGGGTTGGTGAACTCTTGGGTTGTCTGTTGGTGGCAAATACAGACAATTTAGAATATAATTAAAATAATATAATATATAATACATAAAAATTAATGAATATGGCCAGGGCGTGCTTAGAGAAAAAAATTTTAAATTCTGTTTATATTATTTAAAATAAAAGGTATGGAGGAAATTTACTAAGAATTTAATTCAAAACAAGAAGAAAAGTAAAATAAAGGTATAGGCTTAAATTAATGTACTGACAAGTAAAAAAGCAATACAATGGATAAATAAATACACTAGTTCTTTGAAGAGATTGACACAAGACAGACCTTTGACAAACGTGATCACAGTCATGACTGAATCCCCAGGCCTTGGTCCCGGTTCAGAGCCCTGAATTAACTAAAAATACAGGAAGAGGGAGAGAGAAAAATTTCAAGGGATGTTTCTTTCAAGCCTTCCCTGAAGGAGAGGCTTTCATGTAACTTTTAGTCCCTAAGTATAGCTTCCCAAGTTTCTCTTCCAGTACTGAGAGAAAAAAAATGAGGAAAAGAAGGTATAGTCCCTAACTCAATTTGGTTCAATGCCAAATTTGTCCTTGTATTTTTAAGCAGCAAATTACCTAAATCTTTTACCTCATTTGGAAGGGGATTCTATTTCTGATTATTGAACCATACTACGGGTGGAACCTAGAAACGCCTTGGAGAAATAGATGAAGAAGCAAGTGTTCTAACTGAATTTTAAAATTCCCTCTAAATACTATCAGGATTATACATGATGATTAATAGTATACTTTGTAATGAGAAAAAACATAATGAGAAAGGGACATAACCATGAGTATGAGATTATGACACATAACTCTATCTTGGTCATTTTTAAAAACAAGTAAGAAAAATAATCTGACAAAAAGAAACAAAAATAGCTCGAGAAAAGTGCTCATACTTTTGGTTAACCAAATAAAACTGCAACTTGAAATAATACTCTTCACAACAGTCTTATTTTCCCAACTCTTAAATTACTTTATTCTTTCCCAATTCTTACCCTTATTGCTACCTCCATCACAAATAATGAGTATAACATTATATTTTAACTTAAAATTGCCCAAGTACACTAACCCTAACCTATACACTAACCCTATCACGTACCCTAACCCTCTCCCGTACATTAACCCAAACCCTTACCCTAACCCTAACTCATAGCTGTACCCTAACCTGTACCCTAAACTCTACCCATTCCCTAACCCTAACCCTAAACCGTACCATAAACCTAACCCGTACGCTAACACTAACCCGTACCCTAACACATACCCTAACCCTAACCCGTAGCCATACCCTAAACTGTACCCTAACCCTATCCCGTACCCTAACCCTAAACCGTACCCTAACCCGTACCCTAATCCTAACTCATACCCTAACACTAACCCGTAATCTAACCCGTACTGAAAAAAAAAAAAAGAAAAAAAATTGCCCAAGTAAGGAGAGGAGCTGCTTATATATCACTATGGAAGCACAAACTATTACATTTCTAGAGGAGTATCAACCTCCTAAAATGTCAGCATGACCTTCAGCCTATAACATTAATTCTGTTGATTTATGCTACAAAAATAATCAAAATGTATACAAAGTTCTGTGCACATAAATTTCAGTGTCTAGAAGAGTACTTAGCTAACAGTATGTCTAGCACATTTTAATTAATAAATGATCATCAAAGTATTTTTGAATACTGTGAAAAATTGGAAACTACTTAAATGTCTAAATAAACGATGGCACATCTATGAGGTACACCAATGTGCATTCATTAGGATTCTTTTTATCTTTTAAAAATATTCAGTGGCTTTGGAAAAAGATCACAGTAAAGCTTTTAGCAGAAAAAGTGAAAGTAGTACATCACATACACAGCATGATGACAGGAGTCTATGTGAGAGTCCTCACATATAAATTTGGGTAGATATGTATCTATATGTAAATAATATCATCTCTGTTATACAATTATTGGTGGTTTTTTATTTACTTCTTTTTTATTTCTATATTTTCAACATCTTTTGGCATAAAAGTCCATTAGTTACAATCATATGTTAGCAATATATAGTATAAAGAATAAATTTAAAATTTTTTCTGATATTTACAATTGTGAGTAATTACTATTATATTTTATAGTGTACATAGTATTTTTTAGTATCTAGTTTAGTATCTCGTCCCTGGCCTGAAGGACTCACCATCTAATAAGGAAGAGAAATGTATAAATAGGTAACTATAGTAAAATACTTTATATTCTGTAATAGAGAAATATGTAGGATGCTATAAGAACATAAAGGAAGAAGAAACTACTCCATTAAAGATATTTCTAAAGCAGAGAGGGTCACACTGGAGCAGCAGTTTCAAGAGTTTATTTGCTGAGAGCCAGAGAGAAGGAATAAAACAGTGGGCTTAAGTAATACTCACCCAGTTGTTTGCCCTGAGGTAGAATGATTTAAGTGTTAATGAGTAGTTGAGTCAAGATCAAACCTATAATTAAAGAGTGATAATTGTGTGGCACAATACACATTGAGCATCAAACAGTAGATGGAAAAAATATTTAGGGGCAAGAAGTTGTTTCCCCAACCCAGCCCTAGATCATATAGGATGTATTTCTATACCATTATCTCCCCATGTAGGTGTTCACTCTCACTCATCTAAGCAGCCGTAGTGCTTTATCTATTCCTTTCACATGGCATTTATTTTTCAGCCTGAAATAAGCCATACCTAGCTAAGCTTTTTGAAATTTTATGTCTCGTTTTTGTATCTTCTAAAACACCTTCCCCAGCCTTGCATATAGAAGTGCTCAATAAATACTGATAGAATGAATCACTAATATAGAATACTGGAATTTGTAAAAAAAAAAATGTTATTCATTTAGATTTATGGTCTTTCTTTTCAGAGTTGAGAGGCTGACTGAAGAAGTAATGACAGAGTGGAAAATGAGACAAGCAGGAGGTAAGGTGAAAACAGATGCTAACACGGAAGGGAGGTGACCATGCTGAAAATGTTGACAGTCACAAGGAGAAAGATTCCATTTCCTTTCCATGATTCCCTTGGAGCAACTCCAAGATTTCTGTTCTAAATATATTAAGTCTCACTCAAAATGTATTGTGTATGTACGTATGCACAGTTACTGCAGGGATCTTTAGAGAGCAGAGCTTTTGTCACTAGTCCTCAGGCACCTCGACAGAGAGAATATTAAAAGACTCAAACTGGCCCAAATCCAGGGGAAAGTAGACAGACTGAAAAGATAAGGCAGGTAGTTAATCTTCTGGAAGGTACCACTAGTCAAGACAGGTTTGTTCACCCAGATTGCTGTCTCAAGTCTACTTTTGTTTGATTTGTTACCTTACCCACTGGGAAATCTGTGTCTTGACATTGAATTACAAAGCAAGGATGACCTGGGTCACTAAATAAGGCTAGTTAGTGAAAGGAAAAAGTCTTTTGTCAAACTTTATGCCAGAACTGAAATCTACGCAAAATTTGGCCCCATGTCTTTAAGCACATTTATTATGACCTGAAGAAAAGAGAAACCAATAAGGCAATGAGCCTTATTATTACAAAGCAATCTTTTTTTATCATCAGTCAATAATGACTCTAGATGGATAGCTCAGCCAGAAATTGTACTTACTGCAAAAATATATTATACGTATTACCATAAAGATGACATCTCAATTGTCAAAAACATTAAGCGCTACCTGGTGGATAGCACAGATATTACAAAATTCACAAATGGGTGAATGTTTCACATTTGTTCTCTGACGTGACTTTTCTTGGCTTGATATAAGCAAATGTAGTATTTTAATAGAATATCAGCTTGTAGGGCAAGGTTAAATATTTTTGTCATCTTCTAAAATATAGTTTACATGATTGATATAATGGCTTTGCTTCCTCTAAAAATGTGCACAAGATTTACATGTTGTACAACTGACATTGTGGTTTTCTTATCTACATCCTTATCAAATTTGCCCACCATTAGTAAATATGCAGCTTGAGGGATTGACTCCCAGGTCCAGAGGTAAGCTCCGATTCACTGAAGGCAGTCAGGATAATCTCATAGGCCTTGATAAAGTGTTTGGTTTAAGGATGTACAGACTTGGAAATTTCCTGTGCAAAGGCACTGATTGAGAAACGGATATGTGACTCGTTCTAGAACATTAAGACCCAAGGCTAGGTTTCCTGAGTTCTTCTAGAAAGGGTACTTTCTCACTCTTTAGAGAGTTTATCTAAGCAACTCTGTTTCCTCCTCTTAGCACCATGGGGTATGGTGATAAAGCCATAGGGAAACCTAATGGACAACCAAAGGACTACAGAGAAATGGAGCTAAAGCCATTGAATTTTTGCTGATACTAATAGTTGTCTGCCATTTAGACTTATGTTTACATGAGTAAATAATTCTGTTACTTGAAGCCAACCTCTTTTTGATACATGCTGAATATATGCCTATTTAAAAGAACTTAAGTATGTATTAGAGTTACTTAATAACTATCTGCCCAAGACAGAGTAACCAAGACTGATGGATGAATCTTGATTAGAAAGGAAGGGAGTAGAGAGTAGAGGAGAGGAAAGAAAGGGAGGATGGGGAAGGAAAGGAGGGAGGGAGGGAAGGAAAAGAGGTAGGAAGTGGGAGGGGAGAAGGAGGGAGGAAAGTGCTAGGTCATATAGTACGTTTTTAGGAAACTACCTTACTCTTTTTTGTTTTCACCAGCAATGTACAAGAGATACAGTTTTTCTGTGCCTTTGCCAGCATTTGGCACTATCGGTATTTTTTATTTTACCTGTTCTTACAGGTGTGTAGTGACAGCTCACAGTGATTCTAATTTTTGTTTCCCTAAAGGCAAGCAGTGTTGAACATCTTTTCATGTGTTTATCTGCCATCCATATATCTTCTTTGATGAAGTGTCTGTTCAGTTACTTCATCCATTTTCTAATTGAATTGTCTTCTTACTATTGCGCTTGTAGACCTCATTATATATTCCATATGCAAGCAATTTGCCTGATAGGTGATTTGCAGATTTTTTTTTCCCCAGTTGCCGATCAACTTTTCATCCTCTTTGCCTTTTCACACTCTTAACAGGATCTTTTGCAGACCAATCGTTTTTTTTTTTGTTTGTTTGTTTGTTTTAATTTCTATGGAGTTCAATTTATTCTTTTAATTTCATGGATCATGCATTTGGTGTCATGTCAGAGAAAGCTTTGCCTAATCCTAGGTCATGAATAATTAATTATTATTCATTTCCTCTTATTCCATAATATATTGAGCATTTCAATTTCTTCTTGCCTATTTTCCCTTTCCCTCCTCCATTTCTTAACCGCCTGGTTCTATCTCAGCCCTTGTATCAGACTATAGAGGCAGTATATCAACCCTGGGCAAAGTACTTGTCTTCATCTGGGTCCACTATAGCTCCTAATCTGTGCTTCAGAGTTTTCATTTAGGTGACGTATCTAGACCTACTTCTTGGTCAGGGTTTCCTCCCTTAGGTGGAAGACCAGGTGAAAGGTAGGCCTGTCTGAATACCCAGGGGTAGGATAATGGAGTGCAAGGCCAGGTGCCTCGTACACATATTTACCAGAGTGAGTATGTAACAGATGTAACATTCAAAGGGCAACCAAAATCCAACAAAGAATAGCTCAAAAGAAAGTCTCCAATTTTGAAAAGCTAGACTGAAAAGGAGAGCCAAAGAAAGAGGCTAAAATAGAGAAACCAGGGAGGCAAAGGAAATAGAATTGATACAGGCAGGGGGCACTGAAAATGTGGACTGATAGAAGCTAAGGTACTTCTATTAGCTTTAGAAATAAAGTTAATAATAATAGCTAATTCTTACAATTAGATTCACTCTGTGACAGGCACTGTTTTAAATGCTCTCTATCAGTAGTTCTCAAACTGTTCAAGGGAACCTTCATGTATCCCCAAGACCCTTTTAGGAATCTGCAAGTTCCAATCTATTTCCATAATAATAGTAATATATTATTTGGTGTTTTCAGTCTTTATTCTCTTGTGAGTGTTCAGTGGAGTTTTCCAGAGGCCACATGTTGTATAATATTGCAACAGATTGAAAGCAGAAGTAGATATGAGAATCCAGCTGCCTTCTATTAAAGCAGACAACAGAAAATATTTGAGAAAAATGTAAAATAATGCTACTGTCTCACAATTTTTTTCTTGTTTTGGCACAGAGAGCTAGGTAGGTAGGGAGCTAGTTATAACTGGGAAGGGAGAAACACAAGGGCTCTGCTGAGGAAACCCTTCCATGGATTTAATGGATTTAATTTATTTTAGCCAGATGAAAAGTTATAGTTAGTATCCAATATAAAGAGTGCTCTTTTAACTACATTGTAATTTCTCCCAGAATTTCTACATTTTCATCATAATGTGTTACACTCTCTATACCTCTGTGTTAGTTGTACTGTGGGGATACTGCAGTAAATGAGAGAGCAATCTAGACAGCATCCGCCAAGGGCATCATGATGCTACAAGATGATAGACGGCTAGCCTAGAGTTCCCGGGGCTAATTAGCAACAAAGCAGTGAAGTTCAGAGTTACTCATAGAGACTAGACAAGAACAGAAACACTAGCTATGGCAGAAAAAAGAAGGGGCAGATGTATGACAAAAAAAAATTCCTCCACCAAATATATTAAAGGAAACAGACCCTGGAAAGTGAGATGGCAGGCAATTAAATTATAAATGCAACTTTGTTGAAGCCCATGGGAAAAGAGTAGGCTATTGTCAAAGAATCCCTGAGGAACGTGAAAGGGAAAGGAAAGCCAGGCTATGCAATCCTAAGAAATAGACTCTTTAAAAAATTATTTAGTAAACCAATATTAAGCATGTGAAACAATTGTTCTTGATGCTAGTTCTATTTATATATTTCTCAAACTGGAACGTACCTAGAGTGATCTGGGACAAAAAACACAGCATAATATGACATACTTTTGGACTGTTAATTCTATCTGATGGAAAGTAATTTAAAGTGTGTATTTATATTGAAACAGTCATAACTATGTTATAAAGAGAACACAGAATTCAAATATATATTTTAAGATGGACAATTTGGCAAAGTCTTATCTTCTGTTACTCTTTCAGGAATTGGATAAGTCCCCAACTGGCTCATGCCATGCCCCCATCTCTATGACCAAAATTGCATTTCATTTATTATTACTGCCATTTTACTCAGTTTTCCATCTTGAAATGGAAATATACACTGAAATTTCAATGATATGGAAAAAGTATCAAGGGGAGATAGTTTTAAAAGATAGAAAATTGTCAAAAATGTCCATTATGTCCAAAGTTTGACCATTGATTTAATATGTTCCTTTTTATAAAGTTTAATACTCAATATATAGTATATCGCTGACCCTTCATCTTGGGGGAAAATATAAATGATTTTATATTTGGAAGTTAAGTAGAAACAAGAAAAATTATTTTATAGCTATATTCATGCAATAAATACAGCCTATAAAAAGCGTGATACATTTTGACTATGTGTTTCATCAGGAAAAAGAAATCCTACTGTGGTGATGTTGTGCTTTTCAAGGGGCTATTCAGTCCCATAGCATCAAGCTTAGTCTATAGCAATATTTAAACAGGAACTATTTCTTAACCACAGTAAGTAGTGAATCAGAGCTACACACTGTTAAAACTGAAAGAGGATTCAGAGATCATCAGTACTTTAGTACTGTGCTGGTTGAGCAGTGAAGCAAACCAAAGTGTCAGAAGCCATGTTCTTGAAGTAGTAAATAGTTAAGTGCATGGAGTAGTTAAAGAGCATACAATTTAGAGGGAGATAGGCTTTGGTTTTTATTCTGCTCCACCACTTACCTATGTAACACCAGAAAGTTATTTAACATTTCTAAATTTCAACTTCTACATTTCTAAATTGAGATAATAACTATACTGATGCTTGAAACAAGCTGTAATATAGTTTATGGGGATAATGCTGTAGAGTAAAGGTAGCAT